CAGGTTTTTAATACCTAAATATACGCATTCACCAAGTATAAAATTTCAAGACGTAATTTACTACCAAATCAGAACAACAAAGGATATTTTTGCGCACGTTTACTAAGAAATATGTTTGAACTTTTAAGGGCATTGAAAATTAATAGGAAAATCGTACCACCTAAGTAGTCATTTTTTACAGTTTAGTTGTTCCGAACGGCCGGCGGGTTTAAAGGCCGGCATCCTGGCGTGACTGTAATATCTTGTGGTTTTGCTGTGCGGCAGTTATTTTTTCTGCAATCAGAGGCGCATCTTAGAATTCCGACTAGCATTTCAAGAGATAGCACATATACTGCAGTTTCTGTATGTGGTCGGCTCCAAATTATAGTCACAGATGGACGGTGAAGAATGAGTCCCCATCTGATTATCCTCATTCCGCACATTCCCAAACTAACGAGCTGATCGGGGCGAATAGTGTCACCGACATCATCCTATTCATAGACACGTTCTGGCAGGTCGAAGGGAGACAAGTAAATCTTCAACTAAAACGGCCAGATTTTTGAAACCGATGTGTCTTTGCGTACTTCCATTTATCTAGGGCGCACATATTGCAAGGGTTCTTCTTGCCGGCTTTCGAAAGTGTAATGTGTTAGATCATGCAGAAAACTAGCTGTGAGTAGACCCATAAAAGACGTAGGCAGTAAGAGATTTGTTTCGTGGCATACAGTAGGTGGGCTAAATCATGGATTGTCAACCGAGATTCCAAAATGCGTTTTCGGTTTGAAAAAATTAATTAAGTAGGGTTGTAAAACTAGACATCACGCAGCATAATTTCATAATAATTCAGCTACCTCAGGATGCCGAATTTCGAAGGCACTTCATTTCGGCCGCATAAAAAGTAATATTCTGTAAAAAATTGCTAGTTACGTAGCATGCATTTTTCTTTTTTGATTTTTGATGCCCTTAAAAAATTCAATTATATTTCATGGAAGGCGTGCATAAGATATTCATCCTCTTGCTCATTCGGTAGAAAATGACGCCTTATTCCAATTTTATACTCAATGGAAGGGCATAATTCGGTTTTCAAATACTTTTCCAATTCCCGAATAATTTTGAACTCGACCTGCCGTTACACTCGCATTCGGGGTTTCCAAACTGCAAGCCGCATATTTTCCGCGTATGGAAAACTATATATTTCTCTACGGTATTAAGAGGACACCATATCGGGTACATAACATTTAGCAGTGGATTTGAGCCATATTGGTAACTTAACAAGCCACATTGGTAAATGCAGAGACATGACGTTTAATGAACGGCCATTTCACGATATTAAGAAATCTCACAATTAAAAACTTTTAGCACCGAATTATACCCTTACATCGAGTATAAAATTGGAGGAGGGCGTCATTTTCTACCGGTTGAGCAAAAGAATGGATACTTTATGCGTTCTTCATGAAATGCAATTGAATTTTTTAAGGACATCGAAAATCAATGAGAAAAATGTATGCTACGTATGTAGTCATTTCTTACAGAGTATAGGTTTTGCGTGCAGCCGAATATAATTGCGTTCGAAAGCCGGCATCCCGAGGTAGCTGAATTATTTTAGAATTATGTTGCATGGGGATTAGTTTTACAACTTTTCTTAATTAATCTTTTCGAAACGAAAACGCATTTCAGAATTTCGGTTGACATTTCATGAGTAAGCCCACCTACTATACGTTGTGCGCCTAAGCGATTCATTCGTTTCATATCTGGACTCTCTCTGGCCTCTTCTATCGGCCTCAATATTGCCACCAGAAGGACCTGTACTACTCTCCTCAGTTAACGGGGTCCGGTTTATCTGGCTGTTGCCCCATGAATCACTTGCAGTGTCCTATACAGCATATTCCCATTGGCTAGCCCATCCCGCTTGGTTTAACCCACGCCGCGCACACGCAGCAGCAATGGCACGTTTCGTGGTGAGCCGTCCCCTCTCTCCCCCCCCCCACACGCAGCACGCCGCTGCGCGCAGCATAGAGTCCCTGCGCGTGCGAACCTGACTCACGCCTGGCCGGAAGTCTGTCCGGCTTGCGGGCCAAGAGGCGTCCGACCCTCGGATCTCAAATAAACCCCTCCCGGTGAACGCCCCCCTCTTCTTTTGAAAAGCAGTAAGCGCCCACTTTAGTGTATGGGCACCGAAACAAAGGCTCCTTGTCATAATTGGGTCGACAGAATCATTTAAGCCATTAAACAGCAAACCTGGTGAATTCTAGATTGATTGCTTAGGAAAACCTTGCGGCGAGGTTTGGTCCTGCAGACCCACTTGGTTGATGCTATATGGTTAGCTTCGTAAAACCATTTTAATAGATGCGATTACGCTGGCTTTGCACATATCACGTGTTTGCGCCTTCTTTACTACTTTAATCCAGCGAGTGACTGTGTCTCGGGGGGATGTTTATACACCAGCCTCGGTTACATCAAGTTCACACGCGCTTCCCTGCGCGTGTTTCGAGCTCTGCCTGCGCTCTCTTGCCTTTCCTAATCCAGCGAGTGGCTAAGTTAGGCATGTTAACTAGAAGTGTTTTGGTAAGTTACTCATATGGTATCAATCAAGCGGGGCTGCAGAACCAAACTGCGTTAAACTCGCTTGCGCAGCCGACTTCTGTGCCATAAATAGCGGATTCCGACGAAAGTTGCAGTAGATTAGGTGGGTAACTTTGCCCAAATGTGGTTAAACTCACGGCCCCCAGTCAGGCCGCGTAGCTCGGGTGGCTTGAGCATTGGCTGTATTCAAGCCTTGCACTTACAGTCGTGGATCTGAATCCCACCGCGGCTGCCGAGTTTTTCACAAATGGGTTAGATGAATTATTCAAGTCGACCAAAACACCTATGAATTTATTTGACCCAGTAGTCATCTGATGGATTCTAAATTGATAGCTTAAGAAAACCTGCTTGCGCAGACAGCCTACCGTATCAGAAATGGTGGATTCCGTACTTTGCAGCGGGCTGGACGGCTAACTAAACACAGACGTGGTTAGCTTCACGGCTCTCGGTCAGGGGGTTAGGGCGTTGATTGTACTCAAACCTCGCTCTTTCTGTCCGGAGGTTCGAATCCCATCGAGGCCGCCGAGTTTTTAGCATTGGCATGTCATAATTAGGTAGCAGCCAGCGAGTGACTGAAGACAAGTATAGTGTTCAGAGATAGCTAGGAACGGAGGAGTTATCGACTACGTTCCCTGCTTCGTCAGTACTTTACTCCATATCCAAAATATCTAGTGTAATGAGGGTGGCCACTGAGGTTACTCGGCATGTGTTAAGTCAGTTGAGGCATGAGGGGTTGACATCGCCAGATTTCCAAGGCCAAAAGACAGGGAAGACACAGAAATTTGGATCATACAAGACGCAGCATACAATTACAACAAGGAATGTCAACTAGTCGTGCGGCAGTCGTTCAGGTTTCTAGCCCCGGCTCAAAGTACATGTACGAGCCTGGGCCTTGTCCGACTGCAACCAATCAGCGGAGAACGCAGCGTCGATTGGCCTCAAGTTGTCGCAAGGGCAATGCCAAGTCACGCTCAGCAAAAGTAATCGATTGGCAGGGGGTGTTCGGCAGACTGAAGGCGCATGGTTGAGCTGCCGCCATGGCGACCGCGAAAGCAGACTGTGAATGTCCCGCAGCTTTCGAACGGTAATAATTTTATTTAGTTTCATGTTTATTTGATCAGTAATGTGTTTGCATATCTTTGTTGTTTTCGACAATTGCTAGTTATACTAGCAAAATGCTCAGGCTGCTGAATTTAGGTATAAAAAGGTCGCAAACGCCATTTTGATCTTTCACCTCGAAGACAATTTGCAAGCATTCTTTGTGTTGAGTGGGACAAGTGGCCTCGCCTGACAAAGAAATCGGCACGCACAGAAGAGTCCCATTTAAAATATTTCCACTAATTATACGATGCATCCATGCGAATAACGCCTCACTGACTGAGGGTCTAATTTAGTTTTCGAGTGCATTTTGGTTACTGTTCTGTATTTTGGACGGCGCCTGCTGGTAATGTCAACGTCGCGGGCGAAAGGCATTATTTTCCATCTTTTTTGTGAGCTCCCTCCGTGTACAAGTTGAGATGACAGCGTCCTCGTGGTTGGGGCCGTTTCTCACATCTATAGTACCACTACAATGGTTATACTTTGGTGGCCACTCCTCTTCTCCTGAGCCAGTCAGGGCGTCCAAGGCAGGACGAGCGACACGTGGCAAGCCCTACCCTTCGCGGGGGCGTGGCCTTTTGCCGGGGCAAATTCAGCAATGTTCGACCGTGCCTTCGCGTTGGCCAAATAACCACCCCCTGCCTCAGCCAATCAACGTTGGCAGCAGCCGCTGATTGGCTCTTGGGATTCGCCAAAAGGATTTGTCCTCTGACATGCTGCGTCCAGAAACGCTGCTGGCTCTCAGCGTTCATTTTCGGAGGTGTGTTCAGGCCAACAGATGGTGGCCCTACAACCAGATGGACTGACGGACCGATAAAAGCGATGGACAGACAGGTTGTAAATACCTCCCAAAACATTATCCGGATGACCAAATGACCATGGAAGTTATGGGTTGGGGGACAAAGAATATTTTGGAAACCAAACAAGTGGATTGAACGAGCAGGAAATAATCGGTTTTGTCTCCCCCCTCCCCCTGTGAGCTTCACAATAAAACTGGTTCGCTGAGATAAGTTCTGACCTTGCAATCACTAAGACCTGGATCTTTCTCCCCACTGGACAGTTGTTCTTCTTACACGAAATAAAATCTTTTTGTGATCCTTTCGCCTTCGTGAAAAGGCCTTTGGTTCATGTGAGATTCGGGGCTGTTTGTGGGCAGACTGCCGGTGTACTCACAGACCCAGAAAATGGTCTCTGGGTCATCCGGGCGCTTAATTTGCTGTGTTGCATGCAGTCTTCATCATACACTTTTTGGCTTAAAATTCATTGCAATTTCTCCCAAAATAACAGAGCTTTGATTTACCCTTTTTACCACAAAAACTAGCACTGTGAAAACGTCAAGGATGCCCCCGCGAACTCGTACCTCCACTGTAAGTTGACAATTTTCGTTTCGCCATGCCCAACCATTTAGGGTTTTGCCGATTTTTTGGAAAAAGAGCCGTGATTAAGAAATCCTGTTTTGCATCCGTCAAATGAACAGTCCTGATTGAGTACTTCAAGAATTTTGCGTCATTAGTTTTTGGTTATTCTTTTATCTTCTGTAAATCACTGACCGATCACTATTATGGACACCCCCCTCAAAGTCAAGTTCGCCTAGCTTTTTGCTGTTGGGAAGAAAAGACTCTTTATTGAAGTCGGAGTTTGTTGTCCGCAGAGTTTTTGCAGTAAAAACATGAGGGCTTGAGTAATAAATTTACGATGCAAGCTGACACAAAAGCAGTAGCAACGTTTCAAGTGGTGTACTTCTGCCTACAGTTTGTGTGTGTGTGTGTTTGCTTATTTCCGCAGACTCTTGCCTATGCTGCACGCAAGTAATTTAGCTGTCCAACATGAGCAGGGGATGTACGGGTGGTTCGGCGTAATTTTACACCACAGTAGGGTGATGAAAGAGCACCTAGCACACTTAATCCGCTGATCCCGGTGCTTACCTCTAGTCCTCCTCCTCCTCCTCCTCCTCCTCCTCCTCCTCCTCCTCCCCCTCACCCTCCCTGACAAACCCTAACGCAACTAATATCACGGATAGTAATGGAAAGACGTCAAAGAGGATGAAAAGGACCATAAGATACACCCTGTCGACCTTCGAGAACGCTGTCATAATTAGCTTTTAGTTCTTTCGGAGCTGGGATGACTTTCCGCGAATTTCTGCATGGAACAGACGCCATTAGTCGGTTACTGTTGAGTCACGGTCATCCTATGCTTAATACGCGCTGTTATAGATTCTTAACTCTACGGTACTTTGCAAATCTGTTGTCATTTTGATTGGAGGTGACATAGGTTGAAGGTCCTTGCACTGAAGATGGGGGAACAGTTATTTGTGCAACCTCGGGCTTTGCTATTTCCAGTGGAATTTAGCACTTGCCTGACGCCTCATCGCCAGATGACTAGTTTTCCGCATAATCTATGTACTACCGAACCTCAGAAATACTGTCTTCCACATTGCGTTCTCTCGAAATTATTTAAACTTTACCATCCGAGTTCTTTCCACCCTGAGCAGACACGTTTCTGCCCTTCTAACGCGAATTTTCTCTATTTCCTTAGGTACTGACAAATTCTTTATGCATCTTCGTTTTTTTGCTTTCAGGGGTCGGCAAAACTTGCTCTCATTGGGTCTGTTTTTATCACCTGTCTGGGATCCTCTTTCCTGATTGGCTACAACCTTGGTATCGTCAATCTGCCCGCGAATGTGAGTTTTTTGGTAGAATGATATATGACCCAGCACAGGGATAACAAAATGTGTCCAGTCGCACGTTTAATGATAATATGACTGGCATTGAAAACAGAAAGAGCGTTATATATTCCGCCAACATATCCGTTTTAACCCTATACAGATTTTCATAAAAGGAAGTAATCAGAAGAAGTATATTCTTTATCAGTCAAGACGCGCCGGAAAAGATTTCTGTCTTGCAGAAGAGCATTTAGTCTGATTGAAGATCTTTTGGAAGTGACATCCCATACAGAAGACTGGAGTCTGTCTCAAGAGATCTTTCTGAGCATTTCGAACTATCATTAATTTCTTCCCAAGTCCCCAATTCACTGGTACATCCTCAGTGTTCGTCCGGCATTGGGGAGTAATGGTTTTTCACCACTTATTAATGGATGCCAAATGTCTGCGGAAATTAGTCTGAAGGGTTGGCACAGTGGCGTCGTCGTTAAGCGGTCATACTTTGTGAAGTACGTGTTCTGACCTCGGTAGACTCATTTACCTCATTTCCAAGCCCCTATGAGACAAGAAAGTGAACGATTGATAATCGTCTGGATGGCCCCGTCCATCTTAAGTTGCTGAAACATACAAGGGCTAGATCGCAGTTGGTAGCCAGGAATGGGGAAGCGGACGGCGACCTTAACCCTAATCATAATCTTGACCCTAACCTTAACCTCAACATTAACCGTTAACCTTAAGGCCAACCCTAACCAAAATCGTAAAGATAACCGTAGCCCTTAGACATAGCCGCAACTGAAAAACTTAACCGTAATACTGAAACCTAATCGTACGCTCAAACCCTAACCGTAACCCGAAAACCGAAGCCAAAGGGCATAAACCTAACCCGAAAATCGGAAACCATTAACCGGTACCCTAATCCTAACCTCAGACGTAAAACGGAAGCCAAATGGGTCAGATGTGATTATGGAACCCCACAAAACAGCCCCAGTAAACAACCCCCCCAGCCACCACTAATACGGGGCCTGGCTACCAACTGCGATCTAGCCAAGCAAGTTAACGCTGGGTCGGGAGATTGTCCTATCTGTTAGGCTTGCTGAAGAAGAAATTTGGGTAAGGACGTAGCAGGCGACCCCGCTTAGGGAACAAAAACCAGGTCACCGTGGCATACTGCGCCCTCGCCCTTTTTATAACTGACGCCTCCGCGCTCTCCTAACTAGGTGGAGTGTAATCTACTTCTCTTTTTTTAAACACATCGGAAGAACTGCGAAAAAGTGCTTGACTTTTGCTTGCGCTGTCAGCTACCTTAACATCCTCGGCATTCCTCGAAGGTCGGGTTCCTAATAAGTGTGCGCTTCTGTAAGTAACTGTAGAAAAATTTGGCGCGAGGACGCAATACACCACCCAAACGTTTTTTCCGAATGTTTACCTACTATCGCGCGCTCTCCTTTTCGCCGTTTAGCCCCACCCATAAAACCCGTACTACGCGATGATCTGGATTTTGTTCCCTGAATGGGGTGGCATACTGCGTCCTCGCCGAAACATGGTAGGACACGGGGCAACGGTAGGGTGAAGAACCCCAAATAGCTGTCGGTAGGCTGTGGATCGTGTCGCACGGAAATGGGTTTTACGGTTGGGGCAGCACGCTGGACAGTAAACTGACAGAATGCAGGAAAACACAGAAGACGGTCGGTGGCAAAAACGATGCTATCGAGTAAAGTGATGAACGTATGCAGATACGGTATCCAGCTGGATATTCTCTGGTGTTCCAGCTTGAAAGAGTGCCTGACCATCGAACAACTGAGCCTGTCCCCTAGCAGACATTTTTGTAGTCCCGCACTGCATTCTCAGTTGATCTCCTTTTTGTTTCCCCGCTCTTGGGTACAACTGTCCGTCGTCAGTGCTTAATTAGATTTCGCAAGTACGCACACGATCCTTAGTCTACCGACAGTTAACTGAAGTCCTTCACCCTACCGTTGCCGGACACGGAAGAGGGAACCTCTCCCTCCCCTTTTCCCCGTAATACAGATGACCTTGTGCCGCATCCCAGGAGGATTAGGGTTAGGGAGGGAGTTAACGTTAGGGTCAGGATTAAGGTTTGGGCTAGGGTCAGGACATTGGAATAGACACCCTCCCTATAATTGGTAACGGTAGGTTGCTTAACCCCTCTGGATTAAATTTATCTGTCTTATTGTTGTTTATGAGAAGGACTAGGCATAAATAGTCCTAAAGAAATAACTAAATCAGGCGTACACATTTGACAATAAAAACCGTTCAGAGATATCGAGGAAACAGAGCGTTTGTGTTCCAACCGAAGCAAAGTAAACCAAAATGCAGCCAGCGATCCTTGTAGCACGCATAGTATGGTGAGTACCAACATGGCACAAAAAGGTTTAATTACTCTTCCGGGAGAAGTAAGTAAGTCACGGCGTACCGAATCGACAAACAAAGGCAATACAAGTGCATTAGGGTAATTACGAAATCAGGGTAAGACTAAGGGATTACGAGAAGGAGGAGGAAACGAAAACATCATTCCAAATAATTTATCACTTAAACGTCACCCTGAAGTCACTCGGTGCATGCAGTCATATCAAAGTTTTAATTAACACATACACAGCCAGTGGGTTTACACAACCTATCCTTACCCTATAACTCAACCCAACGCCACTGGCATTCCGGGGATTCCTATTCCCGTGCCTTACCGCAAACGCCATCTGCAAACATAAGCCTCAACCAGATTACTGGTCATTGAAGCATAGTCAGTCGTGTCTCTTTGCACGCAGACTAATGAAGACATCGATCGAGTGCCTTAATCTGGTCTACTTATGGTGTTTTTATTTCTTCCCATGCCCTCTCCCACACTTTGCGGCTTTCAAGGAAATCAAAGATTTTCTGGAGAGGGAAATCATTCTTAAGCACCAGACCGGGGCGTGGCTGACAAAGGACTTCCTATATGCCCAAGTATCGTCTGTTTTCGTGCTGGCGGCGGCAATGGGAGCTTTCAGTTGCGGATGGGTTGCAGACTTCCTCGGACGGTAAGTATTCCTTTCGGGGAACACTCCTGTTTTTTCCCTCAAAAGTGTACTTTTCGCAGGGGCAGAACTGCATTATGTAGACGTCTAAATAGGACGTGGAAATAAGAACGCCCCGCCCAAGTAATAAAGGTTCACCCGCTCATAATTCTAGAAAGGAGGAAATATGCCCGTGCCCTAAACCCAACACCACTATAAAAATAAACCATTGCCGTAATCTCGACCCTAACCCTACCCTAAACCATAACTCTGCAGTTAACACTTGCCTCTACCTTGACCCTAAACTTGACCCTGGCTTACGCTACCGCTAACTTTGAATTAGACCCCAAACCTAATCCTTAACTTGACTCGAACCGTTGTTTCACTGGAAGTTGGCTCGAAGCCACCTGCTTTGCAGGTGGTTCCTGTCCTTATGCCCCGTTTAGACGTCCACATAAATCAGTTCTACCCTCGTAGGATGCGGTACGTTCCCCACTCAGCAGGACATATGTTAGAAATTTTTCGTTTTAGCCTGACCTCCAGCGCAAGTTGTGCAGTAATTTCGAACCTATGCAGAATCCATGACAGCAATGCGAACGCACCTGCACACCCGTAAGAACCGCATTTTATCGAAAAATACGCCAGACGGTTGGTATAGTTTATGATTTTAGCTGCTACAAAACCCCCAGGAAAACGTCCGCTATACTTCAGCCCGACAGTCCCGAAATTCCGCTTTCGTTGTCTGTATGCTTAATCAACTTCGCTATATTTGTCCATAGGCTACTGACGCAGACGAAACTTCATGCTCAAATGTCCGTCCAGCACCAGCAGTGGTTGATGCCCGTATGCGAAAACTATCCCTTTTGTGTCCTTTAAAAGTAGAAATGATCCCGGGAGGCCAAAGCTAATCCACCTATCTGACTTCAGTGGAATCGCTAAGTGCAAATGTTTGCAAATTTGACGGAAAGGCGCTAAATGTCATGCTACTTACCCTGACGTATTTTGCACCACCTAAACCAGTAAGGATCCCCCACAGGAGATCCATATGTGAGGAATTATTACAAATTACAAATGCTATGGTTACTTTTAGTGAGGTCGAAGAACTAGCATTGCCTTTACCAACACAGAAAGACCACTTGATACTGTCGAACTCCTCACTGTAAGGTTCTGGTCAAAACCACAGAATGGACTTTACTGACGTCAAACGAAGTATAAATTGTAAACTTCTAGGCTCAACGGGTATCTCAACATGTAGTCAGACTTTACGCTTTATACTCAGGTCGTCAGTCACAGTGGCATCAGTCTGAAGATGCCCATTTTGTTGTCGACTTCTGAGTCAGTTAGACTAAGTAAAGGCCCTAGGGTCTGCATGCAGTCCGGAAATTTTGTCGATTGCGACACACTGGACCTCTATTTGCCAGCGACACTGGTGGGTAAAGCGACAAGACCGTGTTTAGACGAGACAACTTTCGAAGAAAAGAGAACTGCCTTCTACGAGCTTCTAATCCCTACTGTGCATGCTTGCCTGTTGTTTTAAACGTCGGCATGCTGACATATGTTTCGGAGAGCTCTTCTTCTTCCACAATCCAAGCCTTTTGTCTGTTTTCTGAATTTAAGTAGCCAATCTAAACTTCACTCAATTCAGGTGGTCATCGTGTCTTAAACTGACGATCCGGAATTCAACTTTAAGGTGGACATGGTGCAGGTGTCTTCCCTGCGTCGATCACACCGTAAAACCAGGCTGTTTATGGGCATGGTATAGTGGTGAAGTGTTTTTCATAATGAGAGTGTTTTTGCCGATGTTAGTCTTTAATTCTCTAGATATGTTCGGGCGTTTTTTGTTATGTTGCTCCGCGGCGACGGGCTACGGGAGGCTGTATAAATCGCGTATTAGTGTTGGCAAGGTAGTAAATCTCTGAATTGCCCTTCAAGACCTTAATGTTTATGGTTTTTTGGTTTTCCTTCCTGCTGCACGCGAATTTAGATGCCTGCAGCTCATGCTTTCACGTTCTTTTGCCCCCACTTCTAGACGAAATAGCCTGTTAGTCAATAACTTGATCGGCATTGTCGGATCTGTGCTCAGCGGTCTGTGCGTCGTTGTTGGACATCCAGCCCTCCTCTACGTTGGCCGATTTTTCAGTGGCATCAACAGTGGCATCACCATTGGCGTTGCCTCCATCTACCTAACTGAGATCGCGCCTCGAAATCTGCGCGGCATGATCGGCGCCTGCCATCAGTTGGCCGTCACCATGGGAATTTTCGTGGCCTACCTAGCAACTCTGACCCAGGCCCTGAATGATGCACAAAAGTGGCCACTTGCCATCGGCATCGGCGCCATCCCACCCGTCATCTCCTGCATCTTCTTCCCCTTCTGTCCGGAGAGCGCCCGCTACATATACCTGCTGAAGAATCGCGAGGAGGAGGCGAGAGTGGCCTTCCAGCGCGTGAATGCCAGTGAAAATGTTGACATGTTTATCGCAGAGATGCGAGAGGAGGCGGATGTGGCACGGAATCAACCAAAGTTCAAGTTTGTCCAGCTCTTCAAGCAGCGGGATCTTCGAATGCCGGTCCTGATCGCCGTGTTGATTCAAGTTCTTCAACAGCTCTCGGGTATCAATGCGGTAAGTCTCTCTCGAAAGGCCAGCGGGCCTGCGTTTTCCATCTGGCCCCTATCACTAGTCGACGTCGAGCCTTCGCATGCACGGGACCTCGTGAACTTGTCTGTCATCAATTTACCAAAAGAGTCTTTTTATACCACCTTCAGCGTGCACAATGGCTGATAATTTTTGCTGATGTGAACGACAATTCGACCGTTGTTACAAGAGACGATATCCGCCGTTCGCCTCACAGCATAGTGAGCGCAATGACAGCCACTTGAGTGCGAATTGCTTTATAATGACAGCAGACTTGCGCCGCATCTACGGCACTCTCTCCATCCCCACCCTCTTGAGTCCGGCTGCAGGAGGAAGTTAAGAAGACCGTAGGTGTGATCGAGCTGACAAAGCGAACGTCCGTCTACGCGCGCCGCACACGTCCGGTCCGCGGTGCCGGTGGACCGGGTTTTTGCGAAAAAAAAGGAAAGGGGCGGCTCGGTTCCTAACTGAGTCGGATTTTCATGGTGGCTACATTAAGAAGGAGCCGTTGTAGCCTGACGTTCCCCTCTGAGAGGAGGACGGCTTCTAACGTACCGTAATAATTTAAAACCTCTTCAGACTGGTTATTGTGAGGAATATGAACTGAAGTGCCGTGGGGACGCAGTCCGCAGAGTCAACCTCGCTCCCTCTCTTCCCTCTTCCATTATCTGAGAGGGTCAGTCGTCTGGTGCGGTGATTGGGCCTGCGCCTAGGCGTGCAACAGCATCCCCCATATGTAGCATTTGCTATTGTTGCGCAGATCCCAGTAACACCTGCTGCGCCATAATCTGACCCCCTGTGTCAATCCAACGCAAGGCGCGGCGCGGCGCGTTTTTGGGGGACAGCGTTGATAAAAAAGGAAGGGTTGCCTATGTACTCCTCTTTCTTTCTTCTTCCCCCGCTTGCGTCAAGTTACCCGTTCGATCATGATCCGAACGTCGTGGGAGCTGGTTTTTTCTGTTCCAATATTGTCTATTCTGGACAATTTTACCAGTTTCAGGGCACTCTTTTGCTAGAAAGAAAGCCTGAAATCACACGAGAATCGAAAACAGCGAACTATCTTGATTGCAGGACGGAAATAAATCATTCAGTTTTCCTTTAAACTAATGGTCTACGGCTCACATATGCGATGGCGTGGCAACCACCAACCAGTAATCAATAACTTTTGCCAACAAAGACAGGGATATCGTAATGGCCATTTCTGACCTATTTACCAACTTACTGTCCCGACCCGGGGTTGCTGCGCGCTGAGGTTTGAGCCCGAATCAGTCGTAAACAGCAAGGCTTGATAACGGCAAATAAGCCAAAAATATATATTTTGGTCTTCGGTCTCTCAGTAAGACTAGGAGAGAAGTTGGATTGGTTAAAACCAAATTGACTTTTATGTGTATTCCACGCAATATCCGACAATTACGCTGCTCCAAAATTAGCGAAGAAGGCATATATGCGATGAGGGCAAATACCAAGACTGTACAAATGGGGGTGATCGTAGTATTTCGACAGAAGAATATCTGGTTCTGCGGGCAGAGGCCGCAAATGACCCAGCAAGTCATATGATCGTCCATCGGCTGAAATGCTGACGAAGCACCCGGTGGTTACACTAACGACGTAGAAAAATCCTCTTTGCTGTCTTTCAAACTCCTGTCAGATTAACTGTGCTGATTTGACCCGCGCCTACAGACGACTGCTGCCGGAGCGCAGCTCACAGAACAACTTTATCGGCTCTTGTAAATAATTCAGCACTGAGTGACAGCTGACTGATCATTTCATTACGCTGTTGAGCATGTGACAGTTCCTCTGTCGCCACCGCCTGAGGAAGTTGCGATGGCCGATGCGTCTTGGTATGTGGTTATGTGAATTGCACAGCATCAACATTTCTCGTCCCTGTCTCTCTCCCCGTCTCCACTTAATAGCGCAGGCATTATGGTTCACTTGGTCTAGTGCTCACGAATCTTGTACAGTAAGTGGGCTAACTCATGAAATGTCAAAAGAAATTCCGAAATGCGTCGTCGTTTCGAAAAGATTAATGTGGTAGGGTTGTAAAACCAATCCTCGTGCAGCATAATTGTATAATAATTCAGTTACCCCAGGAAGCCGGCTTTCGAACGAACTTCTTTTCGGCTGCATCCAAAAACCGTACTGCGTGAAAAATGATCACTTAAGTAGCATGCATTTTTTCATTGGTTTTCGATGCCCTTAAAGATTCACTTACATTTCACGGAAAACATGCACAAAATTATTCATTCCCTTGCTCATTCAGTAGAAAATTACGTCTTATTTTAATTTTACACTCGAAGGAAAGGTATAATTTAGTTTTATAAAACTTTTTCAATTGCCGAAAAATTTTGAACCCAATTTGCCGTTACACTTGCATTCAGGGTTCCCAAACTACAAGCCGTATAATTCCCGCGTACGGAAAGCCATATATTTCTCTACGGTACTGAAGGGGGACCATATAGGGCTCATAAAATTAAGCAGTGGATTTAATCCACTTTGTTAACTTTACAAGCCATATTGGTAAATGCAGAGACATGACGTTTTATGTAGGGCCATTTCACGGTATTAATAAATCTCACAATTAGAAACTTTTTTAAAACCTAATTACACCCTTCCGCCGAGTGTAAAATTGAAGGAAGACGTATCTTCTACTGAATGAGCGAAACAATGAATATTTTTATGCATGTTTTCCATGAAATATAATGGAATCTTTAAGGACATCAAAAATCAATGAAAAAAAATGTATGCTACGGAGGATGGTTTTTGGATGCAGCTGAAAAGAAGTTCGTTCGAAAGCCAGAATCCTGTGATAACCGAATTATTATAGAATTATGCTGCAGGATGATTAGTTTTACAGCCCTACTAAATTAATCTTTTCTAAACGGAAACGCATTTCGGAATTTCTGTTGACACTTCATGATTTAGCCCACCTACTGTATGTCACACATCTAATATTTCTTCTGCCGGCAGGAGCTAGACTTTGCGCACTCAGCCGTCACATGGGCCGCATTAAAAGGCGTTATTTAATATGGCTCTCAGTCTGTGGCTAAACTGACTGGAATAGTCCCTGGGCGTGGTTGGCTGCAGGCCACTTCAGCCGCCCGAGCTAGTCCGCGATTTGGCAACCATCAGGTCACGGCTTTTAGCGTGCTGTCATTGCATGCACTCCCTATCTAGCTCCTTAGCCTCAGACAGCCCGCCTTACAATGACAGCCTCCGGCCTTGACTGTGAGCGCTTTTTTCTAGTTGGTCAATGGAAGGGCAGGCGATCGTAGGGTAAATACTAGTTATTTTTTGGGTGTTAATTGAGCATTTGCGTGGGGTAAGGAAAAAACTACGGAGATCTTCCCACGGTTTTTTCTCAAAGAAGGTGTTGTTCGGTAGAGTTGTTGGTCGGCCCTTCGTCGGCAGGGTGACGTTTGCCGACCCGTATCGCCTCGAGAAGTCGGTTCATTATCCTGCACACCCCACGCGTAATTCTTTAGTAAGAGGAAAGCTCAATTTAAAAAAAGTTAGGCGCAGAGAGCAAGCAGTCAGGTAGTAAAAAAATATTCTAAATATTTTTGGCTAGAATTCATACATCTGCCAGCAAAGCAGGAGTGTTAAAACGCTGGTAAATTTGAATAAGGCAAAGGCGACAAAGCAGGCAGAATTTACTGACATCATAAATTTCGAGACCTCTCATTCAGCTGCACACGGTCATTGCATAGTTATATGACAAGTCAAACTGTTCAACCAGCGATCGACCGAGAGAGATAAAACGTGATAGGTAACACGAAACATGGGTCTGGTATGCGGTTGCGTAATGCGAGGGGGAGGGGGAGAAAAGTCATTCAAGTATGTGAGTTAGGATTACAGTGAGGACTTGTCGTGCATTCAGTCATATCGGGGAGGGGGAGGGAAGGTGGAGGCGAGATGAGAGGGCGTATATGGGAACAGGGTTTTGTCCATAAGCGATCCTTATCATGGCAGTGCCAGGTATATAACGTAGTCCAACTGCTTACAGAGTTCTGGTTTCCTCCTCCGCACGCATGCCTTGTCTCCTTTGCCTTATTCAAATTTATTCCGGGAAAACGTTGCTTCAATCTGCTGGTCAAATTGTTAAACAACAGTTGGCATTTTCCTACTCTGCGCACATAATTAATCCTTGCCCCTTTTTTAAATGTCAGCTTAGCGCCTTGTTCTCTCCACGCATCTGTACAGGTGGTGGCCAATTCGTCGCTCATGCTGCAGACGGCCAGTGTGCCGGAGAGCCAACTGCAGTACTACGTCCTTGGCACGGGGTTCCTCAACGTCATTTGCACAATAGTTGCACTACCCCTGCTGGAGCGCGCCGGTCGTCGAACCCTTCTGCTCTGGCCTACGCTCATCCTTGGTTTAACACTGCTCCTACAGACCATCATGGTGAGCGTCATCAACTCCAAGCCGAGCGATGAGCAGGGACCGTTTGCCATTGTCTCCGCCGTCCTCGTCTTCGTCTACATTGGCAGTTTTGCTGTTGGACTGGGGCCTATCCCCGCCCTGATTGTTGCAGAAATCTTCCGACAGGGTCCTCGGGGAGCTGCCTACTCGCTGAGCCAGAGCATTCAGTGGCTCTGCAATCTCATCGTTCTCTTCAGTTTCCCCTCGCTGAATGTAAGCACCGGTTTGCTGACTTTTGGGGATGTAATGCAGGCGTTGCGGTCACAGACCGTCTGACGCGCCCCTGAACACTAAGACGGCCGCTGTTCCGTGTGTTCTATCGCGTCGGGCAGTAATCAATCCGAGAAGTTTAACCGAGCTAGACAAAAGAGACTGCTACGAAGATTTCTAGGCCACTTTTCGGACTTAACTCACAGGCCATCTTTGCCTGCAGCTAGAACTGATCGGCCGAGTCTCCTCTTTCTCTATTGGGTAGTGTTTCTCGACTACTGATCCACATGCGAAGACGCCAGAGTGGAGCTCAAAGGCCAAATAGGATCAACATTACTTCATCCTACGATTAAGCCGAACCGGTCAATGTCACATTCACATGATTTTGTGTAACAGTTTGGCATGCAGGCAAGGGCAGAACTGTAACCGAAAGGTATAAGCAGGACCAGAATGTCAGGCTGGCTTTCGCAACATCTACCGCACAATATCCTCTCCCATCCACCTTGTTCTGATGGCGAGGCAATGCCAGAGTGACCGGAGGCAGACGTAGGTGCAGTGGCTGTCTGCGTTAAACGACCCGTTTATGCGCGCCACACACGACCTGCCGTCTGCGAAGTCGAAGGAGAATGGCTTACCTCCAGAATGTGGGTAACGAAGTGCGAGAGCTGATCACACTATCGCACCCGATCTGTGCTGACCTGCGCGCAACCTGATCTTTCGTCCGGCGTGGCTTCTACCAGCCATTCAGTCCGACACACACGATAGTTAATCCTGTCACACTCTGTCGTATTCGCCTCTAGATGTTGGAAGTAAATGCTAACAGGACATTTTTGGGATCCACCCAGCCTAAACGCCACTAATGTGCTCCACTCGCGCTAGTACGTTACTGACAGTCGTCGTCAACGCCCAGTTCAACTGTACCCTTCTGCTTCGATTTTGTAGGAATCAATGAAAGGTTACGTCTACCTGCCCTTCCTCGTGGTTGTTGTGGTCTGCTGGGTCTTCTTCTTCCTATTCATGCCGGAGACGAAGAACCGCACTTTTGATGAGGTTGCCAGGGACCTGGCCTTCGGCACAATTGTCGTGGGTCGGCGTACCGCTGCTCTCCAAACCACCGTATTTACAAAGGAGTCCAATGAGGAACCGACTCCAGCAAACCCCCTCCTAGAGGGCGTCGGGAGTCAAAAAGTTGCCTGACAGTATTTCCGTCTGCTGTTCCCCTCTGATCACCTTATTACTCATCCCTCGTAAAATTGACCTTCTTGGTTCTTTCCTCTCCCAGGAACTGTTTGATGACCTCTGTTACTTTTATTTCCAAACAGGAGTACGTAGACGAAGTTCCGTCGAATGTGCGCGCGACTGTATTTTAACCTTCCGGTTCTTACCTGACTTCCGCAGCCATTGATAATTTTGGTACTGTAATTAAGTACCTACACACTGTAACTTCAGTCACTTTACCACCCCTCTTCTCCTCCTCTCACTCCCATCCTCACTCTCTCAAATTGTCACTGCATCTGCTCACTGATTACCTTTTTATTCGACTAGTATTCCCAGTATAAATTTAAATCGCCACACATTTTCACCCCTCAGTCCACTGTTTTGGACAGTCCGATTGAGGCATTGCATCCTATTTTGTGAAACAAAATAAACCGACGTGAGATTACAGGTATGTGAAGCGGAGCGAGCTCTCTAAAGCGACACTTTTGGTACATCCACGGTTTTGCTGATAGTCAGGACGGCTACTATAAAATTATACCCGATTAATATTGGGATATGTCCGAGGGCCTGAAACTACTTTTTTCCGCTAACTACCCTTGGATGGCATGAAAATCACCCTTTCTGGTTGCTCGATTTTACCAAAATCGGCTATTGCGGTCTCCAAGTTCTGTTCAGCTTCGCGTTATGCTTCCTTGTTAGCAGTATTTTTAGTAGCGCAGGAAGATATCGAACGTTTTCATCCTGATATAGCCCAACTGTGCGACACGAGAAGACTGCTCTTATGGTCTGGAGACGATGCAAAAGAAAAGAGACGGGTCCGCATGATTGCTCGTTAGTGCACCGAGTTAAACCTTCGTTTTAATGCTTTTAACTCCCGGCATGTGCAAACTTGAGCAGGATTGGGGTCAGGACATGGGTTGTCGACTTTCGACAGGGGCGTGATGGCCATCTTATCGGGTCCAATGAGGGTACTTCATCGCTTTTGGATGGGAGATACGACGAAGAATTGCTGCTAATGGCCTCTCGTTCATGCCTAGCATAGGATTTACACCGTTCGAGAAACTTGCCTCAAAGCCCGAGGCCGCTGGCACTTTAGCCGTCTTTCGTTCCTCAGGCATTCACTTGGCACGACAAATTTGCTTACGTGCGGAGATATAGTCCTTCAGGTACTCTGTCGCCTAGTGCACTAATGTTTGAACTCTTCGAAATGGGGTTCGGACGCAATTATGTCTGGCAAACAGACGGTAGGTCCTGTTGAACGACGCGACTTACATTGTCTTGGTAGCTTCACTGGGCATGTTTGCAGTTCCGCAATTTCATGGTCTACAAATCACAGGTCAAAATGTCTCACGTTTTTGTAACCGAAGAACACAAACACACATTGTACCGTTTGCCAAAGCTCACATCATCGTAACTTAGTAGCGCACAGAGGAGAAAGTGATCAGAGTTGATTTTCAGCGAGCGATCATTTTAGCCCGGACAACTCGAAGGTAACAAGACTGACTAGAGGTGTGCTTTTCCATGCAGACACATCGGACTCCCCCCCAGCCTACGAGGCCTTGCCCTGTTATTCACGCGTAGACCGGAATAGAATGGCTAAATAAGATGGAGAAATCGGTCGATGGGGAAGCAGGCCGGCTATCAGCCAGAACGGTTGTTGTAGAGGTACAGCGCTACTACTCTTCTATGTTCCAAGAGTTTAATCCGCATTCTGGAACCCGCAAATCAGTCAGCGAAAGTCGCAGCAGCAAAGGTAGACAAAAAGGCGTCCGACCATTTGTCGATTAGCCCAGCAGACAAGTTAAATTTATATTTTCCATGCGTATTTATTGCTTTGACGACTGGCAACCGATCCGGCGATCCAACCACTCAACTAAGCATCATTTCCTAATTTCGCCTGCCTGCTTGTCTAATTAACAGTTATTACCAGTGTGAAATAAAAATGTTAGATGATAGGTGAGCATCCTGGTACAAGCCACAGGTGTGACGGAAAGATTTGACCAACACCTCATGAAAGAAATGAGGAGACCAATTGCAAAAGGCAAGGAAGATGCAGGAATATGGATTGCTCCAAGGAAAATTCGTCCTATAAGACACTTCTACCGACACTAACAGCTCCGCTGTACATCGTAGATGTTCGTACAGTTATTGCCCGACCTCATGAAATGTTAACTGGGATTCTGAAGTGCGTTTTCAATTAGGAAGGATCACTTAAGTAAGACTGTGACAACATAATCCCCGTGATATTTCAGACATTCCAGGATGTTGGCTTTCAAATACACATCTTTTCTGCCGTCCGAGAAAACCGCACTTGGTACAAAAAATGACTACCTGAGTTACTTGCACTTTTTCCATGGATTTGCGATGCTCCTTTAAGGGCAAATAAATTTTGGAGAAAAATGCACCATAATATCCCTTCTTGTATTCGTTTGGTAGTAAATTACATTTTGCTCAAATTTTTTTACTAGAAAAAGGGGTGTTTCTCGGTTTTAAGAGACCGTTAAATGTCCATTCAAATAGCATCGTATCTGTCTGTTTAACAATGCTCCTCATAAAGTATGCAACGTGCAACATTTTATGAGTCCCTTATGGTTTTCCCTGCATGGGAAGTGTACAACTTGTAGACTGAAAACTCTGAAAGCAAATATAGCGACAGATCGGCCTCAAAAATATTTGGGGATTAGAAAACTTTTTTTAAAAAATCAAGAGATACCTCCTCCTCTAGCATGGAACCTGAAGAACGGGTGATTTACTACAAGCTAAGGATATTCCGTGTACTTTTTCTACCGAATATATCTGCATTTGTAAGGGCATTATAAATCAATAGAAAAATATATGCTACACATGAAGTCATTTTTCGCCGAGTTCGGTTTTTTCCAGACGGCAGAAAAGAAGTGGATTCGGAAGCCGACATCCTGGAGGGTCTGAAATATTATGGGGTCATGTGGCATGATACTCAGTATTACAACTCCACTTAGGCAATCGTTCCTAATTGAAAATTCGGCTAGATCACAGTTGGCAGTCAGGCCCTGTATTACAGGTGGCTGGGGGGTTTGTTTACTGGGGCTATTAAATGGGGCTCCATAATTACACCTGACCCATTTGGCTTCCGTTGTACGTTGGAGGTTAGGATTAGGGTACCGGTTAATGGTTTCCGATTTTCGGGTTAGGGTTATGCCTTTAGGCTTAGGTTTTCGGGTTACGGTTAGGGTTTGAGCGCGCGATTAGGTTTCACTATTCCGTTTAGGTTTTTCAGTTACGGCTATGTCTAAGGGCTACGGTTACCTTTACGATTTCGGTTAGGGCTAGGGTTGCTGCTAAGGTTAATGGCTAACGTTTAAGGTTGAGGTTAGGGTTAGGGTCGCCGTCCGCTTCCCTCTTCCTGGCTACCAACTGCGATCTAGCCGAAAACTTTTTTACGAATTTTGATTTCCACTTCTTGAGATCGGTCTGTGACTGTAGCTTTTGCGATGGGGTCTCGGTCACCCTCACCCGGGTGATGCCAGAGATAAGGCGGTGAGTCCTCTGTCCGACTTTATCGTGCTTTCGATACCACGTTACTTTTGCTATCCACTCACCTGGGACCGGCAGTCATAACTGTCGAATTCTCCTGCATGGAAAATCTGATGGAAAGGACGGTCGCCTCCACGCACTCAGTTCTTCCAAGCTCTGTCTGAAGACGTGCCCCACATGTAGCAGTACGACCCACGAACAGATGGGGGCACGCCAATGGATTCTCCGATTCCTGGACTCATAGCTGTGACGGTCGTGCAACAGTTAGACAACCTGGTTCTCAACAGACTAACGTGCTAGCTGCAATAAATGGATAGTTCCTTCGCCGTCATCGAAAGGAATCTAAAGCTGGCATTCCAGTAATATCCTCAGACCGTCTTCCCGGACTTAAGAATCCCAACGGAGGAGGATTAAGGCAACCAGCTGACCTTACATGGCCTAAGAACTAAAGCGTTAAACAAACTGACAAATACGACGCAAATGCCGGTCTCTAACAGCAACTGCACTCCAAACATAGTTGCGCTCTATCAGGGAATGGAGACGTAGTTTAGGTAAGCGGAAGAAAAGGTAGCTGAGGTACCATGTATTTGGTACATGCTTAGGGAGAGGGAGAGCGACTACGTCCTCGCCTTTTTCAAGGTTTATATGCTAAGACGGGAAGAGAGACCAAACCGCACCGACCTCACAGGTTGGCGAGCTTGTTACTGATTCACAAAAATCCCTGAAACCTTGAAGAAGAAGAAGAAGAAGAAGAAGAAGAAGAAGACACGATCGCCGGGACAAGAGCTTTATTAGCCTGACGCTTCGGATTCCTGCTCGAATCCATCATCAGAGACATAAGCAGATAAGGGTGGTTCATGCACTTACGGCTGCAGTATTTATAGGATGCAGTAGCCATGATACCGCATACCTATGAATATTCACGGCTCCCTCCCCTTCATCAGGAATCGTTGCACGTGGCGTGATGGCCGATAAGCGCGTCGTTAATTGCTACAATTTCATCACATGCGTTGGATGTTGGTGTGATGATTGCTCGACCATCTCACACGCTGACCCTGGTGTTGGGACAAGTGTTCACCTGTGCGCTCCCAGCGTGGCTAATTACTCCCCTAGGCGAAGTCTCAGCACCCAGTATGGAAGGGGAAGGTTATTGCACTTGTTAATGGAGTGGAACCAGAAAACCATGATTAAGGTAGCTCCCGGCTCACGCGGTTGTCACCTCTTGCGAGAATTTCGGCCTCGTCAAATTTGAATGTGTGGCCGGAACCCGTCGAATGAGCTGCAACTTGAGAGCTGGCGTCATTTCTCCGCACCGCTGTAGCGTGTTCAACCATCCTCGTTCGGAGCTGTCTTCCGGTTTCGCCGACGTAGTTGCTTTGTCCGCAACTGCACCAGATCCGAGAATCGACTTTAGACGTTTATTGCCCTGGCAGTGGGTCTTTTGGTTTCATCAACTGACGCCTGATGGTTGCCTCCGGCCTGTGTGCAACTCCAACACCAAGTGGTGCGAGAAGGCGGCCAACAGCTTCCGAAACGTTCTTGACATATGGAAGCGCTCGCCAAACTTTGTTGTCCGTGCGGTTAGGCCTTTCGTCCATTTTGCGTATGCACCGGTTGACAAAGTTGCGCGGGTAGCCATTGGCTTTGGAGACCCGTCGGAAGTATTGTAGTTCAGCAATCTTGTCTTCCGGCTCACTGCAGTGCGTTTCGACACGCCGATAGAGCGTCCTTACACAACTGCGTTTGTGACTGATTGGGTGGTTGCTGTTGAAGTTCAGTACTTGCATCGTATTTGTCGCTTCCCTGAACACTTTGGTCTTTAGTCCACCACAATCCTTGCGGCATACGAGGACATCCAGGAAGGCCAGCTGGTTGTTCTCTTCCTCCTCCATCGTAAATTGTATGTCCGGGAAGACCGCTTTCAGACGTTCCTTGAATGTCAACAGTTGATCCCGATCGATGACGACGAAGGTATCATCCACATACCGGGCCCAGAACTCCGGTTTGTGGTGTTGGAAGACCAGCGACTCTAACCGTTGCAGGACCGCCTCGGCGATGAACCCCGAAATCGGCGAACCCATTGGTGTGCCCTTCACCTGTTCGTAGATTGTCCCGTCGAACGTGAAGTACGTCCTGAGACAGAACTTCAGGAGCTGAAGGACTTGGGCGTGTCCAAGACGATTCTCCGTTTCATCGTATTTGCTTTGTAGAAGCAGCTCGATTGTCTCGCTCGCCAGGTCCTGGGGAACAGAAGTAAAAAGGGATGTAACATCAAAAGGTACCATGACCTCATTTGGATGGAGACTTACCCCTTTGAGTTTCTCCAGGAATTCTGCTGACGAAGAGACCGCGGTGTCTGACTCAGCGGTCAGGAACTTGAGACACCGGAACAGCCACTTAGCCAGTCCGTACGTTGGAGTACCTTTGAGCGACACGATGGTTCGGAGAGGAGCGCCGTCTTTGGGCACCTTAGGGAGGCCATAGAATCGGGCCAAAGCCGTATCTTGGGGTCTCGCCATGCGTCTGTCGGTCGGTGTTATTGCACCTGAGTTCTCCAAGGCCAACAACGTAGCACTGATTTCGCGTGTCAGCGCTTTTACAGGGTTCGTTGCACATGGGACATAGAATTGTCGGTCCTCCAGTAAACCTTTGGCTTTTTGAAGGTAGTCTGTCCTGTCCAGCACAACCGTGGAGCGCCCCTTGTCCGCTGGCACGACGACCAAGTCTTTGTCGGCCTTGAGTTCCCTAAGCGCATCACGTTCGACCTTGGAAAGCACTTCCCGCAGCCTGTGGGCCATTAGGAGAGACTATCGGCCATCACGCCACGTGCAACGATTCCTGATGAAGGGGAGGGAGACGTGAATATTCATAGGTATGCGGTAGCATGGTTACTGCATCCTATAAATACTGCAGCCGCACGTGCATGAACCACCTTTATCTGCCTATGTCTCTGATGATGGATTCGAGCAGGAATCCGAAACGTCAGGCTAATAAAGCTCTTGTCCCGGCGATCGGGTCTTCTTCAAGACTGCTTCCTGGGACTCGTCCCTTCGCTTCTATTGGCAATCCCCGAAACCGTCGGCCGCCGTCTCACACCTATCGGATTTGGTGTTGACTGCAAACCGAAAGTTAACATTGTTCGATGTTAGATGTGACCGGAGGCCCCATCGTCGTGGTAGGAAGCGTCCGGGGTTTTTTTATAGATCTGATGCGATTGCGGACACTGCAGACACTCGGAGAAACTGAAAGATTACGCCGAAAATGGATTGACAAGTACACGTCAGCAGTGATGAGGGGTTACGTCAGCTCTGAAGTTGCTGCTTGCCCTACCATTCCCTCAAGTTGGATGTTGCCAAAATTCTTCTGAGAGGTTACAACTGCGTGAACCGTGAGCTGCTTAAGGCAGGGTTGTCCGGCCATCAACAAGCGCATTAATCCTCTCCTTGGTATTCGGTACTAGGGGTTTGCCTGAGCAGGGAAATCAGTCACACAAAGAACACGCAGATGAACATTACTTTCAGTGACAATATTTGCGAACTAAATTGCTGAGTCAGTATCACACTGGTCACCGACGCCGGTGATCATATCGTGGTCGCCAGCTACCCGAGTGTGATTGGTTAATTAGGAGGATTTTGGGGAAACAAATACTACCCTATCGCGATAAAGTTGGAGATTAAAAAAAACACATTGAGGACGGATTCAGTTAGCTGCAAGTAAATTGTTTAAGTTTGACCATAGTTACTGTAATAAGACCTAATAGTACTAGAATATTTATTTCAAGAGATGAGGCCAAAATCAGCCCTTATTCCTTTATCTAATCTTTTTAGAAATGATTTTAGTTATCTTCTAAATGAAAACCGCATCCATCGAACTTAATGTGAACCAATACACAGGCTCATTTCACGACACTTATTAGCTTAGAAAATTGGCGGGATATAAAAAATGTTTGTTTGTATTTAGAAATTCTTTTCCATTTGCAAAACTGTTCCAAAGTATGTTCTGCACACTAAAAAAATTACTGCGCGAATGGTTTGACCGTTCGAGGCTATTCGAGGCACCTCCTACTAACTACCTACATTTGCTCCAAAAGAACTTCTTGAGCATCGTCCCCTCCTGTGCAGGAGAACCGCATCGTGATACTTAGTTAAGAAAATTAGCGGGTTATGACTGTTTTGTAGCTGAATTTTTCCAGACTGGCGGCTGATCGTGGAAAGAGCATTCGTCGATCAGGTTACGAGACACACCTTTTCTGTGGCACATTGCGGCTCAATCTAGAGCAATTGCTGCTAGTCCCATTGCCACCGACGATTATGCAGGATAGAACACCGACAAATACAGGACAGACTGGGATGGTCATTCCTAGATTATTATCCGTCGTCAGCCAGCCATACTCAACTCCAACTTTTGACATCCTGGAACTTGATGCATAATAAACCAAGGATCTGGGTCTGAATGCTAAGTCATCCGTAGCCAGAGTTTGCAGACGGGGTGGGGTTGTCGCTGTGGGTGTCTGGTTTCGTCTTCATTTTCCTTTCTAATGTACTGTTGACGTTTAACGAAGGGATCCGCGAGGTTGTCACACCCAGAAGGGGGCGGGGAGGAGACATCGCGCATGAACTTTGTTCTTCACTGATCTGGAGTAAGGTGAACCATGTGAACGATAGCGTCTTAAGTACTGTGCCTTCAGTAAACCAGCTTGAGCGAAAGCCGAAAGGAAAGGTAAATTCTCGGTGGCTGTCTCCGTAGACGACTTTAAGTGGTATTTCGAAATGTCGGCCGAACGAAATTCCTGTTCCGGCAATCAAATCTTTCTCCTTTCAAATGCTTCCTGAAACCAGCCCTTTCAGTCGTGTCGGAGGCCCATTCTTTCGACCTTGGCAGGACCTATGAACACTATTTATAAATACAATTCTTAGATGTTTTGGCAGATCTTGAATAATTCATATTGACCCAACTGTGAAAAACTCGGCGCCTCGGTGGGATTCGAACCCACGCAGTAAGGGGAAGGCTTTAGTACAGCCAACGTTCTAACCACTTGAGCTACGAAGCCACGTCGGACGACGCGAGTTTAATCAAATTTGGGTCAAGTTACCCGCCCAACATACCGCAACGTCTGGAATCCACCAAATCTGAGACAGAAAGTTAATTGCCTAAGCAGGATTTCCTAAGTAATTCACCTAGAATCCACCAGATGACTACCAGACTCACGCAATTCATAGATGATTTGGCAGATTTTGGCTGTACAAAAGCCTTCCTCCTACAGCGCTGATTCGAATCCCACCGAGGCGCCGTGTTTTTCACAGTTGAGTCAATATGAAATACGATTCTCCCAAAAGGAAGAACGCTTTTTTCTGGAGAAAAAGAAGACAATGGTTCTGGTGAACTACCCGTCTAGACTTCGACTTTAGAAGCTTGTTCTACGCGCGCGCCGGCCTTGTGGATCGCTTTGAAAGTAAAAAAAACAGAGCGTTTTGCCGTCTGAAGTTAGGCCATCCAGAGCAGTCGTTGTGCGCTGCCAGCGATAGGTGGGAACGTAGGCGTGTGCATTGGAAATGGAGCGGCCACTTGTCTACAGTCCACCCGCCAGCACGACTGACCGGGCGCCTTCCCGTCAATATCACGTTGACAATCTGTGTAAAGACGACCGGTACAAAGGGCGCGCCTTACACTGCCATCTGTGCTAATCCCCATAACTGCATTTCCAGACAAAGCGCGGCCAGTCTGCGACCAGACATGCCCTTCCCTGTCTCTCGTCAGTTAAGATTCGTTACAACCTGCCATCAGACGGCATGTTTTTGGCCCCTGCAGACGGACCTTAGTGGCACCGGTGCAAATCAGTCAATGTAAGACGAAAATAGGTCAGACAAAAATCGACAAAGGTCTTTTTGGACTGTTCTCACTGACACGAATGATTGTGGGGAAGCCAAACACGCTATAGATGAGAGCGATGGATGAACGATAAAATGGTTGATTAGGAGTTAGGTCGTCAATATCAAACCTGCAGATACCGCTTGAGACCATCGGAGGCATCCAAAATGAATCAAAGTTACGTCACCGGGGAGTTTACTGGTTCCAGTATGTCTGCTAGAGAAGAAAGGACGGGGAACGAAAGCGCGGTCATGCTTAATCAACGATTTGTCACTCTCGTTCTATTACTGATTTCGGTGGGTGTATTGGTTCTAGCGGATATTTTCAACTTGAGATGCTTCGTGGACTGCTGCGGTTATGATTCGCGATTATGTTTACCATTTCGCATCACATTAGAGTTAGGGTTCAGTTTAGGGTTAGTTTTTAGGATTAGCATTAGGGTTTAGGGTTAGGGTCATGATTTACGGTTAGAGTTGGTGGTTAGGGTTAGGATTTAGGGCTAGGGTTCGGGGTTAAGATTAGGGTTTAAGATAAGGGCTAGACGTTAGGGTTAGGATTCAGGTTAGGATTCGTTTTTAGACTCTGGACTTAGGGTTAAGATTAGAGTTAGGGTTTAGTGTTGTGATCAGGGTTAGGTTTAGTGTTTAGGAATTGCGGATTAAGATTTTGAGCTAGTGTTATGGTTAGGGTATGGGCTTAGAGTTAAATTTGGGGTTTGGAGTTAGGATTTCAGGTTATGTGTTCGGGCTACAATTTGGGGTTAGGGCTAGGGTAGGGTTAGAGTTTAAGGTTAGGACTGGCGTAAGTATTTGGGTCTAGTTCATTTTGCGCCCGCTTTCTGTAACTTTCATCTAACCCTTCCGTTCGGTTAGTCCCCTTCTTGGGCGGTTCATTTTTGATGATACTGACTGACCAATCATCATTATTTTTGCAAGACCTGGTTTTTTCTGGTTACTTACAATGAAGTTTTGTACTGCGCGCTGAGATCTTAGTGCCAATTAAAACAAATGAACACATTTACCTTCAATGCATCCGTTTTTCCATCAGTTTTCGCACATTTTCCCGTGTCCCCCCGTAGCCCTACCCGTAAAACCCCTGTTACCGTGGTTTCTGTATTGAACGCGCCTAAGGCTTCTCCATTTCCCAGCAGGACCGCGTTTCCGAGCCCTACAGAAGAAAGATTCCCTACGCACATATTCTGTGCGCCTGCATTGTCGATCTTTCAAAACCACCCCTATGGTAATTTTTGAACACTTTTCTTACAGTATCGTAGCAGTTCATTTACAAAGTGCAGATATTCCGAGAAAAGCATGCTGGATTGTAGAGGTTAAACCATTATATTTGTAAAATCCATTCATTAATAAAAGAAACGTTATTTTAGGCCATTCATTTCTGTACACGTATGAGACGGATGGTTTACGCTACGCGAAGTCATGCATCCATTTTTACTGGTGACCTTACTTTGGCGTACAAGTAGGGCACTTCAACTGACGACCAGGATAGTGTGGATACCTATTGTTAATGTCAGTCTCCTAACGAACCTCCCTGATAGCTGTTGGGACCGCTACCGTCGGCGCTCTGTGCCTGAAATGCTCCACAGTGCGAAACCAGAGCATCGATGCAGTGTCCAGAAGATTGCCCTACGCCTACCAGGGATAGACCAGTCTGTGCTGACCATTTGGCGTGACCAAAGTCAAATTTGGCTGAAAATGTTTCAGTTTGTCACCGCCCAGCAGTCTAAAGGTATTTTGTTTGACAAGGACTCTAGGGTCACCGACCACCGCCAGCCATCCGGTGGTTTCACCGAAGTTTTCGATCCAGAAGAGCAACACGTTTTATAACCTGGACATGCCGAGTGAATTGAGGTTCTCATATCACCAACGCACTCGGCTCCTTGAGGGTGGAAATGCCTGAGAAAAAAATCGAAAGC